TGCATATCATTATTCAAAGGCATCATCGTTCGGAGGCATCATTCTCATAGCCCGAGAGCATCATTTCATGGCCTGCGAATCCTTTATTATACGCTTCATGGCCCAGGACGTCATGGTCTGAGGACGTCATCCTAACCGTCCAAGGACAACATTCATAGTCCAACGGGAAATTGCATCATGTTTAAATTTATGCACGATATACGCGTGTATTGTTTATTTGCAGGTAAACCGGCGAGCAACGGCCGTCTTAACAGGAGCGATCCCGCTCCAGTTCCCGCAGTCATATTAGACTTTAACCATCCCTCCCAACCTGAATATCGCGTCCATTCTTGAAAGGCCTCCATCGGAATATTCCGCCGACGGATCCTGAACTACATATGGCCTGATTCCTGTAAGACCAGGGATATGTAGGCAGCTCAGGAATCAGAGTACGGTCAAATTCTTCAAACCATTCCGTTCGGTCAAATTGGCCATCATATCTTTACCCGACAACTCTTTCATCCTTCCCGGGTAAAGAGGGGCAGCTGTTGATACCCAATTTTTCCCTGTATATTTTTTATATGCAAAAACCCTTTCAAAATAGCATATGTATGCATGTATAAATGTGTCCAAATATTTTAGTATTTTTCCTAATTATTAAAGGATTTTTAAATCAATTTATTGCCCTATTTTAGCAAAAAACCAATAATTATTCCTCAAATTATCATTTTTGGTGATTAATTTATTTTATTCTCATATTTATCCCAAAATATAGCTAAGGTAATTTTTGCACATTTTTACAAACTTATTTAGTATTTTTTAAGCTAAACTGCATATAATTGTAATATAGTCCTATTTTAAGAATTATTACGTTTATAATTACCAATTTAATTCCAGTTATTTTTTAATTTAATTTATATATTATTAATTGATTTAGTACCTTTAATTTGTTTACTGAAATTATTTTACTATTTTTATAAAATAAAAAGGGAAAAAGTGGCTATTTAAAATCTAGCCCTATTTATTTCAATTTTAGCCCAAATCGACCACCCCAATTAACCCAATTTCAATCTCAATCGGACCGACCCAATTCCTAAACTACCCGCCCATGACCCAATTTAATCCAACCCGCCCGGCTCCCGAATAAATCCAGGCCGTTGATCAAAATGATCAACGGCCACGATCCCTTCTTTCCTTTTTAATTTCCCAAACCCCTTAACCCTAAATAATTTCACCTAACCAGCCGCCTTTGAATCCCTTCACCCCCTCAAACTCTCTCGAACCTTCTCTGAACCCTAATCGTGTCACCATCTCCCACCGTGAAACCCACTGGAATCCATGGCTTCCCATGCTGTGAGAGCCCTATACACACCTCCTATTGCTCCTATGTGCTTGATACCTGAAGATTCGAGGCCTGACTTCGAAGGTTTTCACCCACACCTCTATTGATTCAAGGTTCTCTGGTCATCTCGGGCTTTGCTCCGGCATACTATAGTTGTTTGAGTCTGATTCCAACCTCTCCGACTCAGATCGATAACCTCTCAAAGCCTTTCTCATTTCTAGGGTTCTTCTGAAACCCTAACCCTTCGAGGTTTTCTCTTATTTCTTTAGATCTGTGGGGTATATGTTCTCTCTTTGAGTTATCAAACGATCTCCCTAACATTTCTTTCGAAAATTACTTTTTAAAATCTTTCTTTTCGATCTATCTTGTTTTCTCATGAGTTATGTTGCTGGAGAAGCCTATTCTTTTCTGAAACTTCTAAACATGATTTCGATTCAATTGCCTGCCCTCTCATCTTTGCTTTATGGTTTGCTTGAATCAGGGTTTTATTTCGAAACCCCTAATTCTTTGAGATTGACTTCGAGTCTTTGAATTGAGTTTGGACTTCTTTGTTTTCATATGACTCTGACCTTTTGCTAAACTCTTCTATACTGGATTTTCTACTGATTTTACAATGACACTACAGTCTTCTTTCATGCTTAACGTGTTTGTAGGCTCCTTATATATGATGAACTTCCCTCTAAAGTAGTTTTTAAATCAGTAATTAGTGGATACTCCCCTCTGAATATGGGTCTAATTGATTCCCTTTCCATGTTTGCTAATTTCCTTTAAGTTAAAAACCTTTCCCATCTTTTGACTCGGTTCATTCATAAGAAATCTATGACCTCTGATTTCTTGGCTATTAATTGATTCTCTTTCCTTAATTGCACAACCGTGTATTTCGAAATTCTGTTTTTAAATAAAACTCTTATGTATTCACCCCTAATTACCTACTTTGCACAAAGTGTTTGATTAATTTCTTTCCTTAATTGGTTTATACCCGTTTGAATCTGAATCCCTTAATTAAAAGGAGTCTTGCGTAATTGATTGACAATCAGTTCTTCAATTATTTTCTTACCTTATTTCCTCATGACTTTCACACTATAAATACACGACCCTTTTTCACAAAGCAGACACATTTAACAATCCTCCACTACTACTTTACAATCTCTTCTGAACTCTTACTAGCACTCTCTTCTTGTCTATTCTGTGGCTTTCACAAGACTACTGCACTTTCTCTTTGTTTGTTTCCATTGAAACTTGTATGTTCTAATTTAAGTTTCAACATCATCACAATGTGTTTATTTACAGCTTTTTGTATCCCTGCCTACTTTACTACTTCTACAAAATTAATTATTTGAACTAGCATGTTAATCTTTTTCTGTTTGTTTCTGCTATGAACCCGTGCTCCCTATCCCCTTATGTGCTGTGAGTTGCAGTTTAAAACATGGCAATATGCAAGTTATTGTCTATGGTTTGAACTTGATCCCTTAAAGGATCCTAACTTCTAAACAATGTATTCTAACAGGCTTACGGGGTAGGCCAGCATTCCTCATTGCTGAGTATGCCCCACCAGCCTGCCTTTGCTTTTCCTTTACTATCTCCTCATTCCCTATACCCCTATGTGTATCAATGTGAACTGTTTCCCGTTCCCCTTTCCCCTTTCAGAATCCTGCACTTGCACCCTCTCTTAGTTATTAGGTTCTGCCCCCCCTCCTGTGAGCCTTGCCTTGGGACCCTGAGTTCCCTCTGAACTTTGACACTTGAGGGCTGAATCTTCCACACTGCACTATGTCCTAATCTGGTAATGTATTTGGGGTGTAAGCACTGCCCGGAGTTCATGTGAGACTCTTAGGGAACTTTGACACACCCCCAAATGGGAGAAAGGCTTTGAAATCTGATCTTTGGAGTAGGTTTTATTTAAGACAGGAAGTCTGAATCAGGCTCTCCTTGGTTGTACTTTTAATTTCTGATGTATTTTCTTTATTTTCTTTTGGGTTGTAATAACTTTGTAATAAGACTCTTGGGCATGGCTAGTGAAAAGGGAGGGGTAACCATGTATGCAAAATGGGTAGATAACCTGCCTATAGGAAGTTCTAATTCCTGTATTCTCATATAGCTATCATGTCTATAAGATCCTGCATTCTCATATAGATAACCTACCTATAGGATTTCTAATTTCAGCATTCTCATATAGATACCATGTCAATAAGACTTCTAATTTAAGCATGTTCACACATAGATTCCATGTCTATAGGATGCACGTGCATGTAGAAAATATGCCTATAGGTCCTTTCTGATTCTTGCATATCCACTTCTCGTTAAGCAAACATGTTATAGGTCTGAATAGCAAAAATGCTCGTAATAAAAGTGTAACACCTAGATATCATGTTGTAGGTTTTTTGCATTTTTTCCATAACTATAAAAGTGTTTAAAATCAACAACGCGTAGAGAGCATGCCTATAGGAACTATCAACCAAGTCTGAAACATTTTTCGCTCGCTTATGAGTCTAAAACCAGTAGTAATGCTTGCAGAACCTGTAACTTTTGCTAAAGTTTGCTTTTCTTTAATAATTTGGTAACCCCTCTTAATCAGTATGTATTCTATCTATTTCATTCTTTTCAGAAATTAGTAGATATCATGTCTGTTGGAGCTTTGTCCCACACCTAGGCAAGCCTTAGGGTAAAGTTTTTAAACTGCATCAGTCTTTTTCAATTACGACCAGCAGGCAAGCCTAATTCGGACTTCTTATCTGGAAATATGTGATAAATCAGCCTGCCCCAGCTTTTAAGTTTTAATCAGACCCTTAAATAGTATGTGTAATACATGCTAAACTATGTGCTTTTCTTTGCTTAAAGGAGGTCAGTTTGAGCCTTTTGTTTGTTTATATGCTTCTCCCCCCAAACATGCTATATGTGTTTTATTTGTCGCCTTAGCATTTTTACCTTTTGAAACCACAAATAAGCCCAACACCTCCTCCCTTTAGGATTAGTAGTCCCAAGTACCTCCGGGACTGATAGGATTGGGGCGGGTAATAGCATGCAATAAGTAAACGAGACCACTCCGCGCATTAATACTTTAAAAGGGTGGGAAAGGGTAGATATGGATATGATGACCACGCGATAACATCACGCGTAAGAGTGATTACCAGATGTTGTATGGGGTGATCCATATTATTAATAAACCTAGGACCCCCTTCCCTTTGTTTCTTTGTTTCTTTTTTTAAATCCTTTAAGCGCTTCTTCTAAATCAACTCTCTTTAATGCTTTCCGACTTTGTTTATTTCTAACCTTTATGTAAAAAATCCCCTCTTATTTGAAGACCTACTTGTTTATGTGTTACTTGCGCCTTAAGTCACAATAATAGCTTGGCCGGGAACCACACTAGTGGATTCTGAGGGGTGCCTAACACCTTCCCCTTGGAATAATTTCAAGCCCTTACCCTATCTATGGTTATCCAAAATCACTCTTCTAGAAGTGTCCTAATGCACTTAAATCATTAGGTGGCGACTCTTCGATTCCATTAAACCCAATTCCCAAAAGAGAACGAGTTGTCTTCCCAAATATCATAAACCCGATTTCGCGAGAAAAAGTGGGCGCGACAGAAGTCTTGCTGCAATGTTAGTCATCTCGATGATGTGGTTTTGCATACTACGCGACCCATCAAACTTCATGGTTGTGAGTTCAACCATTTGTGTACCAGCGAGAGACTTATTTGCAGAACGAAAACGTTCTTCCATAAACTTTAGGTATTCCCCGGTACTTTCTGTTTGTGAAATAGTACTCTTAATGTTGTTGGCAATATTCATTCGCATAAACATAAGGCTTAGCCTGTTAGAGCGTTCCCATGCTTTATGGAAAGACTTCTCATCCGCACTGCTCAAATCAGTAATGGCAGCGGGCTTATCATTCAGCAGAGCCAAGTCAAGATCCATCACACCTAAGTGGAACTGGACTTGTTCACGCCATTCCGAGAAGTTCAATCCGTTGAACACAGTAACAGACGAAGCAAGCGAATGAAAAGTAATAGCTGAAAAATAGATAATACATGCTAAAAAATCAATATGGATTCAACAAAACAGTTAAAGCATATCGCAATTCTCCTTTGGGAAAATACTACGACACACTATCATAATTAAATGACATTTAGTCTTTAATAGGTAATTAAATATTTTTAGCCAAATATATATGCCATCTTTGGACAGACAATATATATTTGACTAAAGAACATTAATTATACCTCATCATATTCACTATTCATAGAATAATTGATTCACCTTTGGGTAAATCCTTAAGTTGTAGCAATAGTGAAAATTAATTTATCCATTAATTTTTTATTATAGGCATTTCATTAATTTTATGGATAAATTATAATTTTATGTATGCGTAATTTCTTAAACATACTAGTTTAGCCGCTTTGGCGACTAACAAACTATATGAACATAAATGCACACATAAAATAAATATCAGAATATTTTATGCATGTGAATATTTTAGACATTCTAGTTTGATCACTTTGGTGACTAACAAACTATATGAGCATTAATACATGCATAAAATTAACATAAATTTGATGTATGTATAAAATATTAAACATTCTAGTTTGATGACTTTGGTAATTAACAAACTATATAATTTTAAGACACATACATCAATTATTATACAATACCAGAATCACAGTCAATACAATGAAGGATTTACGTACAATTACTGCATTCCAAAAACTTTTAGGAATAAAATATTGTCACTGAAGTAGTCAAAAATATATTAAGATTGCATATGTTCATAAAGTTAAATCGCAAGTCATCTTTGTTTAAAGTTCACTTTAGTAGGCCAATGTGTTGGGGAAAAAAGATGCTGCTACAGGTAAACATACAGTTTATGCCTAATTTACATTTATAATTCCACAGTAAGCACAACTTCAAAGGCTGTCGTTCTCGAAAAGTAGAGACCAAAATCTTTCATAATTTTTGTCAATTACTCCCTCTTTTTAGTTGCTCCATAATCTTAAAAGTAATTAAAGAATTAGAGTTCAGCATTATTTTCCACAAACAGCATCTAGCGATCATGATAATTTATTTAAACAATGATTCATAATTGCCGAAGGCACCACATGATTTCTAAACAACTACGCATTCATAATTAGTTGTGATGAAGATTATCTGTTCAAGCAATCCAGGCTCATGATACCACATGTTAACATAAATTTTAATTCATACCAGGATCTTGAACATGATAATTTTACATATAATCATCATAGAAAACATACCTGAAGCGGAATCCATTATCGTGAAGCGGAAGCGTTAATCGCTAAATTTATTTCTCGCCCCTTGCCCTAACTTTTCGTTACCTCCGCCTTTAGTGATGGAAGAAAGAAAACAATAAAAATATGGTAACCCTAATGGGTGGGGAGGGGACAAATTTATAGAGGTTCTCACTAAATCTGGTACGTCGATCAAGTAACCAATCAGACGGATTAGATTTGATAATTAATTAAATATTAATTATGGGCCTTAAACCTATTGGGCCACACACACATAAGAAAATAACTTACATTTGATGGATAAAAAGCTTACGGATTGAAGCTAAGGCAATTAAAACTCGAATAGAAGAAATTCTAGTCACTGGTGCAAATGTATCAAAATAATCTATATTTTGTTTTTGAGAAAATCCTTTTGCTACTAACTGAACTTTATATTTATCTAAATATCCATCATGTAACGACCCGACCGATCGTTTTGAGCCCTAGCACACCGTTCAGCACTTCGAGGCCATGAGCAACTTCAATTCAGGAATTATGACTTGTACGCGTGGTCAGAATTGAATTTCGGGAAGTTCGGGGATTCGGAAGGAGAATTTTCATTTCGGAAGCTTTAAGTTGAAAGAATTGACTAGGATTGGATTTTTGAGTAAACGACATCGGAATTGGGATTCGAAGGTTCCAGCAAGTTCGTATGAGGATTTCGGACTTGGGCGTATGCCCGGATCGGGTTTTGGATGACCCGGGAGCGTTTTGGCGCCTATTTTGGAGGTTAGCATTTTGGAAGAAATTTCATAGGTTTGGGTTTCAGTGCATTTCAGTATTACCGATGTTCGTTTGGGAATTCGAATCTAGGAGTAGCTCCATATGGTGATTCTGGAGTTGGGAGCGCGATTGGAAGTAAATTCGGATGTCCGTGGAGCATTTTGGAGTCATTTGGCTAAAGATAGAAATTTGAAGGTTTTTGAGAAGTTTGACCGGAGGTGGACTTGTTGATATCGGGGTCGGAATCCGATTTCGGAAGTTGGAGTAGGTCCGTAATGTTGAATATTACTTGTGCGCAAAATTTGAAGTCAATCGGACGTGCTTTGATAGGTTTAAACATCGAAAGTAGAAGGTTGAGATTCTAAAGTTCATAAAGTTTGGATTGGAGGTCGATTCGTGGTTTTAGCGTTGTTTGATATGATTTGAGGCCTCGAGCAAGTCCATAATGTGTTTTGGGACTGGTTTGTATGATTGGATGGGGTCCCGGGCCCTCGGGTCGATTTCGGATGGTTAACGGATCGAAAATAAAATTTTGGGAAGTGCTGAAGCTACTCCTTGTGTCATAACCGCACCTGCGGTTGGTGGACCACAGGCGAGACCGCAGATGCGGTCTTCCCATCGCAGAAGCGGCCCAGGGCAGGCCAGGCCAGGAACCGCAGATGCGGCTCCCAAGCCGCAGAAGCAGCTCCGCAGATGCGGCCTGGAGACCGAGATGCGGTCCCAGCTCTTTGGCCCATTTTTGCAGATGCGGCCCATTTTGCGCAGATGCGGGACCGCAGATGCGGTCCCCTAACCGCAAATGCAAAAATGCTGGAGGCAGTAAGGTTCTTTTAAATCGGGTGTTGGGTTCATTTCAACCCCATTTTCTTCCATTGGAGCCGATTTGGAGCAACTTTTAGGTGCCATTTTGACCACCAAGCATGAGGTAAGTAATTTATGTTAGTTTTGAGTTAAATACATTATTATATACGGATTTGGAAATGGAAATTTGTGGAAAACTTGGGGTTTGAGGGAAAAGCTAGAAAATTGATATTCTTGGAATTTGACCACGATTTTGGGTATGGAATTAAGAGAAAATCATATATTTGAGTTCATGGAGTCATGGGTAAGCCTAATCTTAAAAAAAATTCAGAATCCGGGCACGTGGGCCCGAGGGCGTTTTTGTCAACCTTTCGATTCGGGTTAGGAATTATTATAAATTGGATTAATATGAGTAGTTTATCGTATATTAATGAATTTGCATAATCATTAGCTAGTTTTGGGAGTATTTAGCATCGATTCAAGTCTTCGAAAGGGCGTGGAATGCCGGTTATGGATCTTCGGAGCAAGGTGAGTCTCCTTTCTAACCTTGTAAGAGGGAATTGTCCCCATAGGTGAAATAATTTGTTATATGCTCCTATTTGCGGGGGCTACGTACGCACATGGTGACGAGAGTCCGTGCGTAGCTACTAATATGTGTAAGTCCGGGTAGTCTAGGACCCAGAAAGCATGCTATACTTGGAATATCTGTGATCATATTGACAAATTGAATTTCCTAAATCCTATTGAATTGGTAAATGAATTTCTAAGAAGATTACACCCCATTTTCTTGACTTATTCAAAGAGAATTTGGCTTTTCCTTGGATAATTGTTCCCTGATAAATTCAGGATTGACTGATTGTCATATTTATTTATATTCGAACGCGTCACATGTATGATTCAGGAGCGGGGTAATAGATGCATCTATGGTTCGGGCCGCTTGACCCTCGGCAGTGCACATTTTAAATATTGTTGGATCCGGCCGTACGACCTCGGCATGAGTTGCGCATGCTTGTATTGCTTGCTTTGATATTTTTTGATACCAATATCTGCTCTCCCAACTTGAGATAATTGTTAATTAATGGATTATGAATCCGGAGACTTTTAATAAAGAGGAACTTTTACCTGATTAGTAATTTACTTGAATCTACTATTGTTCTTAATAAATCTGTGAGTCATCGCGTTAATAATATTATTACTGGACCTCTAGTAAGTGTCGAAGTTGCCATCTCGTCTCTACTTCTTCGAGATTAGGTGGGATACTTAGTGAGTACACGTTGTTTTTGTACTCATACTACATTTCTGTACATTTTTGTTACACAGGCACATGCGCCACGAATGGCTTAGCAGGCGTAGCAGCATGGTTGACACGGAGACTAGGTGAGCTGTATTTCCTCGAGGCGACCCACAACTAGTATAGCCTCTCTCAGGATTCTATTTATTTTCTGTCCAATTGTATTTCGGACAGCTGTTGTACTTTATTCGAGTTTTCTTAGAAATTTCTCATGCACTTGTGACACCGGGTTCTGGGATGGTTGTAAAGTATTTTTATATCAACTGCTTATTATTTAATTTGATTTAAGACGATTATCTTATAAATTGGTAAATTTGAAGAAAAGTCATAGTTTTCAAGAGTATTAAAATGAGGATTTAATTAAGTATTTTGGTTTGGCTTGCCTGACAGTGGTGTCTGGCGCCATCATGACCTTTAGTGGAATTTGGTTCGTGACAACATGATATCAGAGCACTAGGTTCCTAGGGTCTCACGAGTCATGAGCAAGTCTAGTAAAGTCTCGCGGATCGGTACGGAGACGTCTGTACTTATCTTCGGGAGGCTGCAGGACTGTTAAGAGTACTTCCCTTCTTGATTCCTCATCGTGCGATTTGATTCCTAGAGGCTTGTGCCACTGCTTCCTTCCTACTCAATCCTACGCGACGCGAACCGCTTGTTATAAATCGAGAATGGAAGAATTGTAATGGTATTACCGAGGTGCTGCGGGATGTTTCTCCCTACATAGTTGTCTGAGCTATTATCGTGGCCTTGTGGAAGGATATTCTGTCGTTTCAGCTCAGTAGCGGTACTTCTAAGAGCTTTGAGGCTAGGCACAAGTTGCCATGATGCTATGAACGATTGTTCCACAGTATTGATATGATGGTAGGATGTTTGCCTACGTGTCGGGGCAGAGAATGACTTGAAGGGAGGTTTACTCAGTGCATGATTCAGAGATTCGGTATTTTACTTCTGGCGGAGGAAAGGCAATCAGACTAAGAATGTGCAGATTCGGGTTGATGGAGTAATGAGATTTGGTATTTGCGCACATGGTGGAGTTTTCTTCTATGATGAGGTATAGTTGTCCCAATTGAATGTACTAAGTTCGCCGGTGTTATGATCTTCTACAATTCCCCTTCGGGGCAAGATATTGTGAAGTAGCATTGAAGATACGGCTATTAAGTATGGCGGGGTGCGGTGGTGAAGGATTGAATCAATGTTCCTAATATCGACGGTTCGAGGAAAATGATCTTCAGAAAGGTTTAAAGTTAGCAACAGTTGTGGGTTCAAGTGCCATGAAGATAGATTTTATTCAAGGCAACAACTGAGCAGCAAAGGATAAGGAAGGACATGTGGGGAGTATCAGGCGGTGGTTAAAATTTCTAGAAGGCCAGGTATAAGAAGCAAAGGTCGAGTAGTCGACTAGAGGGGTGAGTTTCACCAAATTGGGAGAGTTTGGAGTGATTTGGGAATTTTAAGTGGTTGTTGATTAGGGAGGATTAATTTGGAGTATGGGCTATTAGGCGGCAGGATATTGATATAACGGAAAGGAGCTGCTTGAAATGAAGAAGGATACAACCTAACTTTGAATTGGAAGGATGTTGCCGCACACTTAATTGATGTCCACGAGAGATGAATGGACTTGTGCAGCTAGAGAGTGAGCTTGGACTCAGGATGGGTCATTAATGTCGTGGAGATTGCACCCCGTGTAGTAGCATTGGCAGACGTCGGCACGTAAATCCCACAGGTGGGTTATCTCCAGTGAGCGGATCGGTAGTTCCATGGTTGGCGAAGCTTCTGCGGAAATTCTATTGGTTATACAGCAAGGAGATCAGTCGTGCGAATGTGGTTGATGATTCATAGTATAAAAAGGGGTTTTACAGAAAGATTTCGAGGATTTTGTCGGTTGATTGCGCAAGGTTATGCCAATAAGAAATAAAGGATCCTGGTGCAGTCCAGAGTTGTGTAATAATGGCTTCAAGCTAAGTGGGAGAGCCCCACTGCCTATGATTAGGGTTGAATGGTTAACTACTTGCGAAGTTTCTGGTTATTAGCATATTGATGGGTCATTTCAGCTACGAAAAGGACATAAGCGGTGATTTGAGCAGAGGAATTGTTAAAGGTGTGCTATGGTTGGCCTTATTGGCCCATGTTTAGACTTGGGGAAGGATTCAGGATTTACGCCTTGTATA